GCGGCGGCTGGACCCGGCCCGTGCGTCTTCGCGCAGGACAATCGCCGGCCACTACCGGGCGGCGGCCGAACCGGTCCGTGCGTCCATGCTCAGGACACGGTCGGGACAATCGCCGGCCACTACCGGGCGGCGGCTGCACCGGCCCGTGCGTCTGCGCGCAGGACAGTCGCCGGCCACTACCGGGCGGCGGCCGGACCGGCCCGTGCGTCTGCGCGCAGGACAATCGCCGGCCACTACCGGGCGGCGGCCGGACCGGCCCGTGCGTCTGCGCGCAGGACAATCGCCGGCCACTACCGGGCGGCGGCTGGACCGGCCCGTGCGTCCGCGCTCAGGACACGGTTTTTGTTGTAGAGCACCGGCTTTATGGCTGCCATTAGTCAGCTGGCCGGACTCCAGACCGGGGGGAGAGAGCGAAAAATGCAAGGGGTGGTGAACCCTCCGACGGCGATGGATCTACCTGCGGACAAAAAGGTGTGTTATGGTCCACCAGGCTTCCAAGTAGATTTAGAGCCGCTTTCGCTCCGGTTCGGGTTTGGCGCTTTGAAAGGGGTGCTGGGGCGCCGTTTGAATGCGGCCCACGTTCCGACATTGGACGCAGTAAAGATGTTTCTTGGTTTTGAGGATCGAGAACAGCGTTCTTCCATTGATCTGGTGTTGTGCGATTGGCAGTAGGAGATGAATTGGCAGTTGGTGGGAGCGTGCACCAGAGCATGGAACTGACGTCAGCGCTTAATTCTGGATCGTCGGTCATGGTTTGGACGGACGTTTTGTGAGGTTGATTATGCAAAGAGATGCATAGTCGCAAGAAGACGTTGTTCACTATACGGTCAAATGAGTTTGTCTTTTTCTCAGGCAGCATATGTGAATCAATTCACGAATGGCTCATGTTCTTTGTTTTTAATCATTGCGAAACAACTCACAACTGATGGCAGGTGTGCGTGCGAGCTAATGGTTCCAGAAGCTGGGTCTTTAATTTGAGACAAGGACGGTGACAAATTCCTGTGTATACCAGCATAGCCTGCGCTGTCAGTCCTTTCTGCACGTTACGGGGTCCACCTCACCACCCGGCTTATTCCCTCAACGGCCGTCATTTGGCGTGACTGCACCATCCGGGCGTCCACTGAGCTCAATGAGAGCTCAGCCGGCGCAATGAGAGCGATCTCCGTACGATCGCGGCCGGCCTCCATACAACCGGCCACTGCGCGCAGCTCCGATGCGTGTGGAATGTAATATCGAGAGCGATGAGCCGCAATCACTTTAATGTTTCTGTGTGCCGGTCTCAAATTCGCCCAATCTGAAACACGCGACGAGCATCCCGACCGGACGACGGCGAGATCCGTGCGAGGAGCAGAACTGCCAACATGGCCGCCGCAGGCCACGAGCACCGGTCCGCGCTTTGTCATGCACGCGGCCGACGACGCGTATGAATGCGTCGCTTGCGGCGGCCCCGGGAAGCTGAACACCGGTAGCCGGGTTACGTCGCCGTTCGCTGAACACGGCAGAGCGGTCCCCAGCTGCGCGCTGTCGGGCAGAATGCAGTCGAGGCTGGCCCATCACTATTGACGGCCGCAGGGGGAGCTGGCCTGACCATCACACCGGCGGCTCTGCAGCTAGTCTGTCACAGAAAGCTATGGTTTATTTTCCAATGAAATCGTGCGGTGCTGCTTTTGCGAGACGATTCCGTCTGCTGAAGTTGAGTCTTCACGTTCGTACGAATATAACGACGTCAGGAGCGAGCGATCTGAGAACGAAAATAAGCCGTATGCATCGGGACGTGCAGCAGCTTGTGGCACGCATGCCCTGGAACATGTACGATGGGTGCCACTCCTTTAGCTAGAATGGGGCAGCTTTCGCGCTACACACACACACACACACACACACACACACACACACACACACACACACACACACACACACACACACACACACACACACACACACACACACACACACACACACACACACACACACACACACACACACACACACACACACACACACACACACACACACACACACACACACACACACACACACACACACACACACACACACACACACACACACACACACACACACACACACACACACACACACACACACACACACACACACACACACACACACACACACACACACACACACACACACACACCACACACACACACACACACACACACACACACACACACACACACACACACACACACACACACACACACACACACACACACACACACACACACACACACACACACACACACACACACACACACACACACACACACACACACACACACACACACACACACACCACACACACACACACACACACACACACACACACACACACACACACACACACACACACACACACACACACACACACACACACACACACACACACACACACACACACACACACACACACACACACACACACACACACACACACACACACACACACACACACACACACACACACACACACACACACACACCACACACACACACACACACACACACACACACACACACACACACACACACACACACACACACACACACACACACACACACACACACACACACACACACACACACACACACACACACACACACACACACACACACACACACACACACACACACACACACACACACACACACACACACACACACACACACACACACACACACACACACACACACACACACACACACACACACACACACACACACCACACACACACACACACACACACACACACACACACACACACACACACACACACACACACACGATATATATATATATATATACATATATATATATATATATATATATATATATATATATATATATATATATATATCCGACGCTTTTTAAAATGGATACAGCCACTGGGAACGAGAACCTTCGCTGAATGGTTCGCGACTGGAGACATAAAGTAAACACGAATATCACCTCTTGGCCTGGCTTCACTTCGCTTGCCTTGCATTTTCTTCCCATTTCAAGCAAAATACAGATCTGGCTCGATGGGACAAATGTGGAGATTGACGGAACTAATGTTAAGGCTTGGGCGGGTTTGCAAGTGGGTTTTTGTACAAGCGCGGTGCACAATGGGAAGCGGTCTACTTTACAGCAATTATCCACCAATGCTGTCAAGCTCTTGCGGTGTGTTCAGTTGGTCGACCCTGGGGGATGACCACTTCATTCTGTCCCCACTGCCATTTATGCACGTGCGAACCAGCGGAATATCCCAAGTGCGGCGTCCAGCGACAGCCGCCGGAGTGCCCCACCGGGGACGCACCGGTGCGCCATACTTGAGCGCGCGCACCTGAGCGCGCCCTCTTGGACAGTCACCGCGCCGCCACGCATGGCATTCAGCGGCGATGACGACGCAGATGACTTTCAGTGCTGAGGGCGGCTGATCGCCGGCCACATTACGCATGCAGCCGACATTCCTGGCTGCCGGTGCCTCACCGGCGCTGGCAGGCGTACTGTAAAACGTCCGACCTTGGTGCCGGGGCGGTGCGTGCCTCGCGCCCCCACGCCGGTCAGCGCGCGATGTGGGCTCTCGCCCCTTACAGGGAGGCCGACCCCGGCAAGGAGTGGCCGCGCGCAGGGCGACGAGGAGATAAATCAGGAGATGAGGACGCCGACCGGCCTCCGGCCGACCGTTTTTGCAGGGCGCTGGTGATATCCGTCGCTCACCCGGAGGAGCGCTGTCTCATGCGTGCAGCCGCGGCGCCGTGCAAAAACGGCCCGCTCGGCGCCCAGAGCGGTCCGGGAGGACACTATCGTGCACGCAATCGTAATTGGATGGATGACCGAGCACCCGCTGGAGTCGTCTTATGATTTGATTTTGACCATTATGGTTCTGATTACGGGTAGCGGGATCAGTGCCCCCCGAGGATGTGCATAATAAAAAGGGTACGGATTCCGATACATTTGTTGCTCTTCAGCTGGTGGTTTAGTTTTAAAAACATTTCACGAAAAAACAGCAAAAGCCATTCGCGTAAGGCCAAAGAACACATGGCGCTAAGCTGATGTATATACGAACACACACAAACACACACACACACACACACACACACACACACACACACACACATATATATATATATATATATATATATATATATATATATATATATTCTCATCCCGTTACCCAAGAACAGATACCCAGGAGCGCTCCTTCCCTCATCCCAGCGACGCAGTAAACCGTATGTTAACACCAGGAAACATCAAATCAAGTCGCGTCACTCCCAGTTCAGAAGAAGAATCAAACATGAAGAAGGAGCCGAAATCGCGGTACACACTCGGCAGGATCCTTGTTACGCGATAGACGTGGCTAGTCATATGAATGGCAGTCATAGCCAAAGTCAGCTTATGACATCCCGCTCCCTCCCCCTAAAAACCTACTATACTCACATCACACCAACCGGAAGGGGTTACCTGGTCAATTTTATGTTATGACCTCTAAGGAGCCCACTCAGCTAAGTGGAGCTCGTTGCGAAGTGTACTGCCGGAGACAGCGCCTTTAATAAGGGTACCCACGTATGACCACTTAGATGCTAGCAGTGGTTATGACACATGAAGTGGGATAGATACGAAGCGCACACACAAAGGTTTTCTTGAACAGGTGAATTGCCCATTTGTGCATTTAGTTGCCCAACAGCGTAATACTGTCAATATTTTTGATAAATTGATCAGAATAAACTTAGTTAAACTTTAATTACAAATGCGTATAACAGACACATGGAACTGCTCGGAGAAAGCGTAGAAAGCTAACGTCCAGACAACAGTGCCCATTTGTCAACCGCTGCTAGCCGCAGTCTGCGGACCATCTCCAATTGGTCTGCACTGCTCGACACTACTCGCCGCGGCGGCGCCCTTAACCCAGCTGGCCGTCGCTTTCGAGCGCCACCGCCGTCTGACTCGGTGTCGGCTCTGACTCTGTGACTCCCGGCTCTGACTCCGTGACTCCCGGCAGGCCGGCGCCATGCTGAAGTGGACGCTGAGCAGCCGAGGCGCCGACCGGGCCGGCGACGCTGCCGCCGGCCGCTACCAGATCAAGCGCGCCTCCGTGCGCGTGCTGCGCACCGAGAACGACAAGGAGAACTCGGACCACGTGTTCAGCCGCTGGATCCACCGTGATCGCCGCGCCGGCGAGCCGCCCGCCGCCAAGAAGGAGGCGGCGCGCCGCGCCAAGGTGCGCTGCAACCCGTTCGACCCGCGGCGCATGTTCGCCGCGCGTGACGAGCCGGAGAGCGACTCGGGCAGCGTGTACATGCGCCTGGAGCGACTGCCGGCCGCCGTGGACGGCCGTCGCCGCGCCGCCGCCGACGCCGCCCCGCTGGGCCTGCGTGACATCACGAACACGGCCGGGGCACCGCGCTCGGAGCCCGGCTACGGCGCCTTGGGCGCCGGCCGCAATCACATCGCGCTGGGGCTGAGGCCGGCGCGAGCGTCGGGTCGCGGGCGCGGCGCCGACGCCGCCATCAAGGAGTTCACCAACAAGCCGAGCGGGCGCGACCTACGTCGGCCGGTGGCGCTGAAGGGAGACTCGCCCGAGGCGCAGCTCCTCACCGACGACAAGCAGCGCGAGAGAGCGCGGCTTGGCGCGGCGTGCGTCGGCGTCGCGAAGTCCAGCCCGCAGGCGGAGCGGCTGTACGGCTCGACACGAGCACCGGATCAGCGCAAGCTGGTCAAGAAGGCGTGTGTGGGGCCCGGCGCCCCCGGCCACGCACACACCACCACCGGCCAGCACATCCACCACGACTACGGCCGGCGGGCTGTGTCGGGCGCGCTGCAACTGCGCCTGCCGGGCGCCTCGCGGGCCTCCCTGACCTCAGGTCACGGACTGGGCCCGCGCCGCTTGGAAAGCGCGCTCATCGGCGGCATCCGGCCGGCGGTCAACTCAGGTCACGGCGTGGGGTCTCGCCGGCCCGACGCCCCTCTGGCCGTGATCCACGAGGCGTGCGAGCGTGCCCGCCGGCCGGCCGAGACGGAAGCGGGCGATGACGCCACGTCGGCGGCCGGCGGGGAGCAAAGGGCCCCACCGGTCGGATTCCCGACATCGCTGGGCGCGCGGCGGCCGGCGGCGGAGCCGCTGACGCCGCCACCGCCACCGCCGCCGCCCCCTCCGCTCGCAGCGGCCGTCCGGTATCAGCTGACGCCGCAGCTGGCGCGGCTAGACGGCCAACACAACACGTCCAGCGAGCGCGGCGACAGCGGAATCTCGGAGGGCCTGGTCAGTCCACTCAGCGAGTCGCAGGACTCGCACGAGTGCTGGGAGGAGGGAAGCGCAGCGGGCGAGGCCTCGCGCCCGCCCGCCTTCTACTTCAGCCGTCCGGGCCACCTACGTACCGACCCGGCCCTGCTGGAGCCGACCGAGCGACGCTCAGCCCGCCGACGCGGGGACCGCGGGCAGGCCGAGCTGACGTCGGAGGGTCACCTGCGAGCGGCTGCCGCGGGGCCGGCCGAGCGGCGCTCCCCGGGGCGCCGGGGCCGCGCCGGCCGCCGGCCCCGCAGCCAGGTATCGGCCGCGGACGTGCTGTCAGCGCTAGGCCACTGCCGAGACGCCGCGGATGCGGCCGGCGGCGCGGCCGGCTCGCTGAGGCGGAGCCGCAGCTTCTCGGACGTGTCCACGCTGTCGCGGGACGAGGGAGCTGCCGCGACGCCGGCCGGGCAGACGAGCAGCTGGGGCGACCCGTTTGCCGAGAATAGCGGCGGGACGGTGATCGAGCGAAGCGCCGGGCGCCCGCAGAAGTCGGTCCGCTTCGCCCTCGACGAAGATGACCCAATCTATCACGAGATAAACGGGTCGTACGCGGGAAATAACAGCGAGGCCCTGCGGAGGTCGCAGCTGTATCGATCATACCAAAACATCGGCTCGGTGTTCGTGGGGATGGAGGGGCAGGCGGTGCCGGCTCCGGCCTGCCGCCCCCTCGTTAGCGGGCAGCAGACAAAGACGGCGACGGACGCCGAGGAGACGTATCTGGTGATGCGCTCGCCCATCAAGTGGCCCAGCCGGCCCAATGTTGCGGACGCACGCGGCGAAAACATGACATCCGGCCGCGACAGCGCCGCGTCGGCGCCGGCAGGTGGCCGGTGTGAGGGGGCGCAGGCGGACAGATGCCCGCCACTGCCGGGGGACAGGTGCGAGCCGCCGGGCGGACCGAGGGGGGCCGGCGGCCGCCAGCGGCGCCAGCGCGAGACAGTCGCCCGCCTCACGCTGCTCCTGGAGGACCGGCTGCCGACGATGGAGAGCGACGGCGAGTCGGCCGACTGGTCGCTGGAGGCCGTCATCAACGACACGCTGCCGCGCGAGCTGCCCGAGCCGGACGCGGCGAACGGCGAGTCGCCGGGCGCGTACGGTGGTGTCGCCGACACCGGAGAGCCCAACGGCCAGAGCAGCGACAGCGGCGCCGAGGAGGGCAACGTCTACTGCCGGCTGGCGGCGCCGGCCGGGGCACGGGCGGCGGCTCCGGGCGCGGGCAGTGACGCCAGCACTTTCGACTCGTGGAGCTCGCACCCGCGACCGCGCCGCAAACCGCCGCTAGCGGCGCCGCGCTCGCTGCCGCCGCCGCCGTCGCCGCCGCTGACGGACGAGCCGGTGTACGCGCGCCTCGACCCGGCCAAGCTGAGCCCGCAGGTGGACAAGGTGACCTGGCACGGCCCCGGCAGGCCAACCGTACGCTCGGTGAAGAGCCGCCGGCAGCGCGCGTCGCCCGGCGCCGCCGGCCGCATCTGGCGACACCCACGGCCCGCCACCGTCCACTCGACGCCCCGCAAGCGGACGGCGCGCCACCTGCGCGACGACTCCAACGACTTCCAGCTAGGCTCGCCGGCCGGCGAGCCGGTGCTCGGGCCCGGCGACACCTACTGCAACGCGCTGGCGTTCGCGCGCACGGCCGACTCCAGCCTGGCCACCTCCGTCTGGATGGGCTTGATGGGTCGCAAGAGCCGGCGCGTCGTCAGCACGCAGCTGCGCTCCCGTGACTTGCTGCAGGCCAGAGGTGAGCGCGGGCGGGGTCAGGTCAAGGCGCGAACGAGTGAGGGTGCTTTTGTGGGGAGCCGGTCACCCCGGTCGCTGACGAGGTGTGCGAAATGGCAGAGCTTTAGATGTCAATGGGGTGCTTCTGCTTGGCATGCTCGCAGACAAGGAGATGACCAAGTTAGCTCGGGTGAATGGGTTCAGTTACGGTAGATGGGACGACGTCAATGGTCCCCGATGCCTGCGCCTGATGAGACGGCAGCCGGTCGCTGATCAAACAGCAGACCGATGAATTCGCAGCGGGGATAATTTGAATTCATAGCATTTACATGCGGAGATGATAGGCTGGCGATAGAGCCGCAGATAATGACCATGTAGGGTGGACGTCGTCAGGCTAATTGTTTTCCATGCCGACAGATAAATTCCCTACCTTATTAGCATAATTCCGTCCGTCGCTGATGGATGACGGACATACCACGATGTCATGTGCCGATAAGGAGCCGTTTGGCATTGCTCTCGGCGTAATCTAATGAGCGCCATGCGCGGTACCACCGCTCTGTTTTGACTCGTGACCTTGTAGACGTGTACGTCCTGTCGGTTTTAACGGCTTCCGGTCGGCCAACGGGCGGCGCTAACTCATCCTGGACTGACGTGCCGCGACGGCTCCCAGTAAAAACGCAGGCGGAGCGCGCGGCGCGTGCAAAAACCCCGTGGCGCGTGCTCTGTTCGGACGGAGGCTAGATGTGCTTATTTGTCACAGGTTTAGCGCGGCGCCGGGCCGGACACGCCACCCGTAATTTCTTCGCTAATCTGGCTGCCAATAACCTGACGTGGGATTGGAAGTCGGTCGTCGATAACGAGTGAGTCGGCGACGTGAGGCTAAGTCTTCTGGAAAGACTGGCACGGTGATAGTACGCTCTAACATAACCGGCCAGAACCGGTGATAGCCTTCTGCCGAATCCTTACTGCGTATCATGTTTTGGAACCAATGATTGTTTCAATTTCCGAGAGGCAACTCTTGTGTGACCCTTATATGGTCGATTACCACACGGCATTCTATGGTTATTACTTACAGCTCAAACGCTTCAGTTAATAACGCTGAGTGTCTGCGGCGATAAACTTAAGTGTGAAACCATTTAAAACACAAGTCATGCCGTATTTCTGGGAGCATTCTCCGCAGCAGGTCTTTGAGAGAACAGCGGCGTTTCAAGCACACCGATCAGGCTCTGTCAAAACTCCTTTCTACGCCACGCTGTAGTGTCTGCCAACAAACTGCGGTGATCCAGTAAGCCAGCGTTCAGCTGCCATTCGACTGAAAGCCGGCCCCTGTAAGTCGCCAACAGTGAACGTAACGTGCGGCCCGTAACCGGTGGTCGGTTGTGTGATGCCTTGCTGAAGACTGAGTCCTCATGTACCTGTCTTCCTACCGCGAGGACCGCGATCAGTATTTTGTAGGCAGTGCGCCATATTGTCTGTAGCCATGTCAGCCACCAGAATTCGGAATTCCATGCCGTTTATTCTGAAGTCCCACATCGCCCACCACGTTTGGTATGGAAAAGACGACAGTCTACCGGGGCAAACCACCGAACTGGTGCCGTATCTTGCAAAGATAGTCGCAGGCCGTTGCAGTGTCGTGCCTGGCGAGCGCGGTCGGCGCTGGTTCATCCGGTGACTTCGGGTGCCGGCTGCGTCTCCACCCGTCGGGCTCGGCTCGGCTGCGGCTGACTGGAGCGGGTCCTTCCACCGAACGCCGCCCGTTCGGCGTTGACGCGCACGGTCCGTCGGGCTCGGCTCGGCTGCGGCTGACTGGAGCGGGTCCTTCCACTGAACGCCGCCCGTTCGGCGGTGACGCGCACGGTCCGTCGGGCTGGGGCTCGGCTCGCGGCAGCCGCCCCGCAGCCGCAGGTGGCTGTCGCGACCAGCGATCTGTCCGATGGCAGCAGTCCGGCCGTCAGTCGTCCGGCTGGACCTCCGCTCCGCCATCCGTCACCTGTCACGCCGCTGCGCCGGACCATCTGTCATACCTGCTCACCGGACGGCCCTCGGCGACGCTCCGGGAGCGGCGCGGGTGGAGCGCGGCCGCGGCGCCGGAGCCAGCGGCCCCCAATTAGGGTCAACCGGGTCAGCCGAGCCTTGCGGAAGTACAATAAGGCGTCAATTGTTCCGCGGGGTCGGCCGGCGATTGCCGGGGTCCGTCGCCGGCTGGCGCCGGACAGGTCTGCTGTGCGGCGCTGCGGGAGGGAGGACGGAGAGCGGATGATGCGGAAGGGGGAAAGAAGAGGAATCAGACAAACGTGCGAGAAATGACGGCGAGAGAGAGGAGAGAGTGTGTCATAACACCCATTTTCCTCGCAAGGGAAATGAAGGGACAGCGGGGGGGGGGGGGGTTGAGCGGACGGAACGGGCATACATGTAGAGGAGAAGAGAGGAGATGAGAAGAGAACAAGAGGGCAACATGAAGAGAACAAGAGGGCAACATGAAGAGAACAAGAGGGCAACATGAAGAGAACAAGAGGGCAACATGAAGAGAACAAGAGGGCAACATGAAGAGAACAAGAGGGCAACATGAAGAGAACAAGAGGGCAACATGAAGAGAACAAGAGGGCAACATGAAGAGAACAAGAGGGCAACGTTATGTTAGAAGTCTCACGTTATGTCACGTCAAGGAGGCGGGAGAGAAAGAGGAAGGGAGATATGAGGGCAGATTCAGATTGCTGTAGAGTAAGGGAGGGCTGTGAGAAGCAAGTAAAGGAAGAAGAAAAACACGGCGGAGAGAGGAGACGGACGCAGAGCACCCGACGGTGGCTGGCCCGGTCGATGTACGCCGCCCGCCGTCATTATTTACCTGGAAAGGCCGGGCGGTCGCCGGCTCCCCGTGGCTCTCACGGAGTCATGCGTCACGGAGCTGCGTCCGACGGCTACCATCCGTACCTGTCGCTGCCTGGAGCCGGGCGCGGCGGCGCCGCTAGCCAGCACCCCCAAGCGTCGGCATCAGCGGTGTTTTTACCAGTTGCGCAACCAACAGGCCGCCGCGCTCAAGGAATTCATCGCACCAGCGAGGCCAACAAAAAGGCGGCGCGAAATTCCTATCGCGGGCCTCTGAAAAAGGGCAGCGGGCGGCGGATTCAGTGCGCTGGATTGAGTGACGGCGTTAGCACCGTCATCGCCTCGCGCGATAGAAGCCTAACGGATAAAAACCCGCCTCCGCTACATTGTCTGATGTCTTGATCGCTTCGACAACAGTCCCATTTATATGCACCTTCTTATCAGAAACGGAGGCGTAGGCTATTCATCGAACGTGGGAGTTAATTTGTCAACGGCTAGGGGCGAGATTGCGCGCTATAAAAGAAGCGAACCGTTTGTGGTTGGATATTTGTCCTCGGTCGCACAATGCTCAAAGTGTAGATGAATCCGTTACAGATCGGACCAGCGTTGCCCCTGGCGTGACCTTGCGAGCACACAGCTGCACGACTGCTATTCAGTAGATGGCAGAGACATAAAAGCATGCATTTTTACGGATAGGTTCGCTGATGACGTCTACCGCCTAAAACCTCCAGCATGAGATTAAGTTGCCAGATATGATTTTATAGGTTCGTTGTCCGGGATCACTGCGGTTTAGCCGGCGCTCTAGTCCAATACAGCTGCCGCGCACCAGCTAAGACCGTTCTAATCACCACTGCTGAGCGTCTGAGCTGGTCGCATGCCTGGCCGGCTCTGGGCGACACCCGGCATGCTAGTGACGCCAGCACAGCGCTGGCAGTCCAAATAAAGCCGTGTGCCGGTCGCGGTCGTCCAGGCACCAGAGCCAGGGCTATTAATTACAGGCGGCAGCCGACCCCTGCGCGTCTCTCGGTGTCCATCGGCTTCTATCTCCGCCCGGCATTAACGGCTGAGATAGCATCGGCCGGCTGGTCGGTTTTTCACCCAGTCAAAACCTATCGGAGCATCACACCTTCCCGACAGCTCAAACTCCGGGGAGCCATTTTTTACCGAGACCCATTGTCCCGGTATCAGTCAAAGCATCGGGAGAACGCTTTTTATCGACCGAATTCGGTTAAAACCGCGTCTATTGGAACAGTCCATGTCGCGATGAGAATCGGTATTCCGAAGAGGAAGCGGACCAAAATATTTCTGCTATTGACGATGCCATTCGGTCGGCTCGGCGGGCGAACTCCCGGCGGTGACCCTACAGAGCCGGACACCGCATTCCTCCCCAAAACACTTAAACAAAGCCCGCCGGCCAGCCGGGCAGCCAAACAATCGCGCCACCCACCCTGAAAACGGTCGACAATGGGCCGAAGTGACAGGACGCGGGAGGGCGCAGACAATACCGGCGTCCGGCGCCGCGCGGCCGACCGCTCGTGGCGCCGCTGCCGGAGTACGCTCCGGCGTATCGGGCGCGGACGCGTGAGAGCGCGCGAGCACAGACGCTTGAGAGCGCGCCGGAGAGTGATCATGTATAAGAGTGATCACGTATGGGGAAATAACGCCTCGAAATGCGTGATGGCAGTAATTCGCAAGAGCCATTGATGTTCTGGGACGCGCATTCCACTAGTGCAATTTTTATTTCGATCCTTGGTGCGGATTAGCGGTCATATGCAACGACATGATCAAATGAGATTCTTCCGCGACGTCAGACGGCTAACCGTCGCACCGGAGGCATGCATGAGTCACACACCAGCCAGCAACACGCCATATTCATAGAGCTGCAGACCGATTGTTGATTTTTTTAAATTCTTCTGTGACTTATTCAGGCTTAAGCACTCCAAACGTTCGGAGAACAGTTCGGAGGGAGGCCTGCTTTTTCAGACCGTATCACGTTTAAGGGGGTGTTCCACATTTACGTTGCGTTTTGAACTGAAATAGCCATTTTGAAGACCTTTCGGTGCTGTTTGTAATTCTGCCCCTCGTATGACCCCAATCTCTAGTTTCTGAGCTTCACGCCCGCGAAAATGGAGAAAGGTTTATCGGGGAGAGTATTTTATAATACCTTCAAATGTGAAACATTCAATTACCACAACGATATGCGCTCATCGTGTTATATCAAGGCAAAGAGTTTCACCCATTCAATCCGGTGTTTGAAAAGTCAACAATGTTTAGGCGTGTTTTTAGCGCCAATCGGGAAGAGGTGAATTGTTGCAAAGCGTCAGCGTAGCGTATGCGGCCGTCATTCCGACGACAGTCCTGGTACAATCCTCCTGAAATAACAGGTGCTGACTTCAGCAACTGGTAGAAGCCACTATGGCTGTTACGAACCCGGTTCGTAATTTTGCAGAAAGATGGGTTTGTCATAATTAGTTTCATGATACAATGATGCACACACCGTTAGCTCTCACATTTTTCGTCATCGACACAGTAGCCGCTGCAATCCTGTTTGCCCCGGGTAATGTTACTGCTGATTCGTTCAGAGCATCAAGCTGAAATATACACAGATGAAATCGGCGGCCCAGAACACCCCTGACCCGTACTAAGGGATTTCGTAAAGCGTTCAAAAACGCCACTTCTCGGTACGCTGTCTTCCGCAGCCGGCCGCCGCCCAGTCGCCACTCAACCTATGGAGACTGCAACGCGGGATGTCTGTGTTCCTGCGCCTAATGATAGCGAGCGTGTATGCTTGACGCTATCATATATATATATATATATATATATATATATATATATATATATATATATATATATATATATATATATATATGTATATATATGTATATATGGAGGGATGGTCACATGTGTACAGTACGTAAGCATAGTGGTCACAGGAATGGCATGCATGTAAGGTAAGGCAATGTCGGTTGATTGGTTGGCTTATCAAGCCAATATGAACTTTCTGAGATTATCAGTGTGCATTCTTTACGAGAGGTAGGAAGGCAGAACTCGTAGTAAGGCGCTGTTCCCTCCAGGGTCATGCAGGGAGGGCCCTGCCGTGATCTTCCCGCGTCTCCAGTCAACGGCGAGGGACAGGAAGGGAAGGGGTGCCTCGTAGCCGTTCCCGGCCGCCGTGCGGTCAGTGGCCGGGCGGCGGCCGCCAGAGGTTACGGCGCCCGCTGTGTGGTCACCAGCGCCGCGGGCACCTGCCGCATTGATTACACCCCGGGCCCGTATAATTCCACCGGCGGCTATCGAGCCCAATCTATTAGTCAGGAATCCGACGCCGGCGGCGCGGCGTCTCCTCCGTCCGAGAGGCGTTCGATCCCGTGACAGGGCTCGGTTATCGATTGGGGGCCGCCCGGAACCCGTGGACCGCTAACGCCTCGTGCCCGCCGACAGGTCAACTGAAATTGCGGATCTACGAGAACAGCGGTCTCCTCACCGTGCACATGATTCGAGCGCGCAAACTGCGCTCGCGCACCTCGGAGCTCTGCAACGTCTACGTCAAGGTACGCTTCGGCGAAAAGGCCCACGCCACTGCACCGGAGACGCGGCTCCATGGCACACCAAGTCAGATCTCAAAAATAGTTGCGTTCTGATCTGTCCACCCGGAAAAAATGTCCGCGTTGACGCACTGTTCAGCGGGACACTGTCCGTGCCTACGAATGTGTCAAGTTGTCAAGTAACGTTGCGTTCGAGCTGGATATCGCTCGCATCGAGTAGGGTCCGACCGAGAAAGGACAAGGCAGGGCTTAGCCTCGCCGGGCTGCCGCCGTCGCCGGTCGTATAGGCACTGGTCAGGTACGGCCAGCGACCTACGATTCTATTCCAGGGTTGCTAGTGGGCGCCCAGAGGATCTGCTTAGTGCAGTCCGCCGCAGGGAACGTGCGGCGAATCGAACCACATGGGAGGTGGTGCCCGGATCGAGCTGCTCTCTGGCATTTGAGTTATCAACATACAACTGAGTCGCCCACCGGTCTCCCATATCGTGCTACTCACAAGTTTCCGTTTTCGACTTGTTGGGGAATGCTCTTGATATCCGAGCACTTGTCCATTTATCGTATCGCAGCGAACAGCCCATGTCAATCATCAGCAACACAAATGTTTCCTCAAAAGTTACGTCGCAGGATACAATAAACACTCCTGAATACTCCTGATATACCGAAAACTTGTCCATTTGTCGTATCGGAGCGAAAAGCCCATATCAATCATCATAAACACAAATGTTTCCTCAAAAGTTGTTTCGCAGGATACAATCATGCCAATGCAGTAAGCGTAGTGCAGCTAGATCCATGGAGCTAGAATCGCTTTTTGAACTAGGGTGGGAGTGAAAAATTCCGTCGCAAAAAGACCGTGCGGGAGTGAAAAAATCAATCCACGAAAGATGGAGCTTATGAGCGCGTGAATGATGCTTCAGCAGACAAAGACATCTATTTCAAGTTGGCATGGACCTAATTTCAGAAACCTGACAAAACTGTTTTGTTTTAACATGTGGCCATTAAAGTGAAACATAATACACTAAAGCATAGTAATTTCATGACAATGTAATGGGCATAACAAATGATTAACACCAATAATTTGATGCTGCACTTATCACTTCCCTTCCACACCACTTTTAGCACAAAACAAAGCAAAGGATTTCCATAACAGAACAATGACAGAAAATTCAACAAGCATCAAACACTCAAGCAAAAGGAAAACCTTGTACTCCTGCACATCAGCCCATTATCAAGTCCAACACAATAGACATACCTCCGGCTTCTGTTAAGATGGGGTCAGGGAAAACAAGCATTTTGTCGCTGTTTCTTACAAAACACCAATGCTTATTTCCATGAAAGTAGCCTAACGGTGTCTAACCTAAAGAGGCCTTACTTCATCTCATCCTGTGTAACCTGTTTGTATCACAGCAGCAGTTGTGAGTTAATGATTCTTGCACAATTCCTATTGCCACTCGCCATGCACTTAACCAACTTAACCCAACTTAGAGTAGCCATATGTTGAACATCATCTCAACTCACCTATCTGTTTACAACAGCGCTTGTGATTAAAACATGATAAAGCTCATTTTTTTGCTGCTTTTAACTTGCATTTTTATTCAGTTCATTTGTGTATGCTTGTTGACATCAGACAAAGTTGACAACACACAATTCAAAACACTTTAAATGCTTTTGAACAACTTATTTTGATTGTCATGGTTAACCTATGTCAAGGGCAATAATGGGTGTGCTCCACAAAACAATCTCTCTTCTCCAAAAGTAACATAACTTTTAGATGACCATGCCAGCATTGCTGCTTGCCTTTTCAGCTGCAACAAATGGATCTATTTAGGCTTGTTTATTTATATTTAATGACAAAGTTTGAGATGTTGGCTTCACATTTTAAATGGGATGGTCTGACTATTCTTTACATACTTATATTTAACTCATATTATAATTGCTATGCGGCATAGATTAGCCCTGTGTTGAAAATATAGTGCATTCATACAGTACAGTCATTTGCCAGTCAGCAAACCATGACAACTATAGAAAACATCTGGTTAAAGCAACCATGAGGAACCACTTCAAGAAATTTGGGGCAACTTATCAAGAATATGGAACAAAATAAACCCATTGCATGCCTTATGGCATCATAATTTGTCTTACGACAAAACTCGATGGATTAAAACAGAAAATGGCTAACTCTGGTTACCAATAATGTGTTGGAAGCAGGTAAGGTAAGCAATTACTTGGTCCACAGGAGACTTTCTGGCTTCTTCCTGCTCCCCCAAAACAAAAAGTCAGTACCTTTTGCATGGTCTGCTAGCAGACAGAGTCATCCCCCCCCAAATATAAATATTAATCATGCCCACTAAGCTACGAGGTTAAAATGCGAAACAAGTAAGAGGTGTGCATGATAAACATCCCCAGCGGGCAGAATTTTCCCATCAAACACTTCTGTATTAGCTTCGTCCGGTCTGTCCCAAAGCTCTGTACGGCAGTATTAGGATAGCCTTGTCTGGTGAGATCGACGCTCGAAAGGCTTAGATTTATCATTATTGAGCACCGCCATGAACCAAGAAAACGGTTAACCGAGGGTTGAACAGGGCAAAAATGACGTTAAAGACAAGTTCCGTGCTTCAAATCGTCTCCTTCATTCCCTGTGAATTGTTCACTCTTGGGTGCATATCAAACATGTTTGGGCGGCTGGCGAATTAATCCAGTTTATGTGTGAAATACGTACAAGTTTGCAGTTGGAGCATCTTGCTGAGAAAATGGTCAACGTTTTAAGCAACAGATGGTGCCTCTAAAGGCAATGGAAAAGGAAGGAAGAATAAAGTGGCATCGCACTCGTATGATACCAAGAAAAACAAAAGTAGTTGAATAGATATAAAGACTTGATACTTTTCTGGCAAAATTTTGTAATGAGCTGATATAACTTAAAATCTGTTAACATAATTGCTCAAATGGTGATATTCACCTTGTAAATGTAATTTAGAAGTCATTTTTTGAATTTTTCACCCCTGCATTTGGCAGTGACACAATTTAGTGGTCAAGTTTCCTGGGGAAAAAAGAAAAACGTTGAGTAAAATTCTCTACCAGGCCTTGCTGGTGTTTGCGCCAGGCTCTGCTTCCGTGGTGTGGTGGTGAGACCCAAAAAATAGGGGATGCGTGAAAACCTTGCATTTGGCACACAGCTGCCGATTGTGATGCATTTTGTAAGCAAACCAAACTTAATGTGTGCAAGAGGCTGGAGTCGCTGAGGTTCTTGGACTTGGAGGTACCTGGCGCCCTTACTCTGTGCATGCATAGACATGATTCAGATGTAGGTGAGGCAGGACATAGCTATAGGTGTCCAGGTTCTGTGCAGCCTCATTTATGCTTGGTGGCTTCAAGTGAGCTCGGTTTTGCAAGACATCTGAAAACCTCAGAAAGGGAAATAGGGATTTGGCATGTGCGCTATGACAATGTCAGGCACGAGTGAGAAATTCACCTAAAATATGGGGGAAAGGAGTGAAAAATTCCTCCTCATAGGGTGTTGCTTTGCACCCAAAGTCGGCAATTCTAGGACACTGGCTAGATCGGACCTAACTTAAAAGTGTCACTGTTAAAAGATGACACCCTATAACAGATCGCGGTACAACCCGACACGCTCCAGGTGCCCCCCAGCCGTGCCGCCCGCGAGCTTCATCGCTGCGGCCGGGTGGGCTGGCTACCCGGCCGCGATCGCGCCGACTCCTCCGCCACCGCTGCGTCATTAGTGACGCGGCGGCCAGCCCAGTTGCAGAGGGGCGTGGCTGGGCAGCGTCGTCGCAACGAAGCCAATCTTGCCTCCGCGAGCGGAATGACTGCTGGTGTCGAGTCGGGCCTGATGGTGGTCAGGTGCGGCGCGGCCTCCTCCCCAGGACGCCATGGGCCTGGAATACGCCGTGCGGCCGTCCGGAAATAGCGTCACGTCCTGGGCGACGGCGGGCGGCTGTAGCGGCGTCCCACCGGGTCGCGTTCCGTGTCGCAGTGTTGTGGTAGTGCCGCAGGACAGAATGCCGGCTCAACCAACGTCATGCGATCGCTGAGGTGTAATCTGAGGAGTGCTGAGGTGTAACCTGAGGAGTGCTGAGATGTAACCTCGCTGGGCGGTGTCGGGAGGCTGTCTCTGCAACGACTGCGGAGTGTTTTGCTCGGACGCACGTAACTATCTCAGTTTGGAAGCAGCTGAGCAAGGTCTTACCGGGCGTTCTTCGACCAATACGTCCATCATCTGCCTTGGTTGTGAGGTACTTGACGCAGCTCTGCCCACAGCATCAGCAGGTGCACGCTTCCGTATGGGTAGCGCATGGTACCCGATCCTGCTGAAGTCGGTGTTGCGCGACGAGTACCCATACCGCAGCATCTGTTCCTGTCCCATCAGCGTATGTTATGCTGCTCCCGACCTGTTTGCGGCTCTGGGCCTTTCTCCCGTAATCAGTCCACCAGTCTAGTGCCAGTGAAGACCGTTGTTATGAGTTGAGAGTTTTTCCACGGGCAGTAATCGGCTTTCAGTATAACAGGAGGTACGCTTACATCAACGTTATCGATAGCCATTGGTTGATTTTACAAAAATTCATGTTTGGAAGTTGTGTTGACGGTCACGAGTAAGCATAACTAAGAGAATACCATAGAAATCCAAGACTTCTGAATGCAGAAGATGTTCCGGATCTGCGCTTACCCCGCCGACACGAATATTTCAAAATGATCGATCAGTCGAGCTTCCCCTTCCACATTTTGGAACCTGGTTTGGGCAACGTCGCTTAAGTGATGCAAGCTTCAAAAATGCTTCGTCTCGTTGTGATGTGCATTCATTTCGGCTGGCAAGTTTTCTGTTATCGCTATGTTCGGTACGGTCAACGAAATTGGAACTCTTCTGGCTTAGCCGTCTACGTCTCGGGCAGCCGTTGGCACAGTCCGGTGTATTGGGTGATGGGACGTGAGGGCATGTACTGCCGGGCTGTTGCTGATGCTCACACGGTGTCAGTGATGTCTGATTTTATAGGTAT